AAAATTGAATATCTTCAACCGCATAATTATTCTCAATTAAAAAAATCTATTTTAAGTATTAACGTTAGTATATGAAAAGTTTCAAAAATTAATAAAGCTCTGAAAAAAAAAAATGTTCTAATAAATCTGATATTGTAAAATAATCCACACTTGTGTGTCTCCGAATAGAAAAATTACAACATTTTTTTAAGAGAAAATTAGTGTTTTATCCTTAATGAATCATCCTGTATACGGGTATATGATGTTGTCTAAAAAACAAAATTCATAATTATTATTCAGTTTTACCGAAACGTCCCACTTGCTCGTTAGCAATTGTAATTCACTAACAAAGGCGTACTTAATGACTCGTGTTCTTATTTAATATTAACAATAATAGTTACAACAGCCGAGTAAGTAATAATTGACGGCAAACGAAAAATAAAACAACCTACCATTTGCCCTAACACATATAGAATATTTTTTTAGCCGGTACACCTACACCTGAACACATAATACGGTTTTTATATTTTCACACTTGCTCACGGATATAGTTACATAACGTTTAATTATAGGAAACACATTATTTTAGAAAAATATATACCGTATTGTACTCCTAAAAGCACAGTAAAACCTGTGCTTTGTCTCTTGATAAAGTCTCTCATTGCTAGCCTTCCTTTATTTTCCACCAAACGAGGTGACGTCCTATTTTCTTTGAAATAATTTAATAATTCCTTAAAAACAAGTTAAATAATGTATTTAGAAAAACGCCTTCGATCTCTTATAAATTACATAAAATAATGTAAAACGCATTACAAAAAAATATAGCTAAGATGACTGCAAAAAAGTACGCGTGTTATAAAAATGTATTTAGGTCAAATGTGGTCATAAACATTCAACTAAGTGTCATATTAAGACATATTATATATCTATATCTGTATAATATGTTACCTATATTATATTTTAAATAAAATTTGAAGCATTTAATATTAATTTTGCTGATAACAAAAGTGTCATTCAATGCATTGCTAAAAGTTCTAAATATTATGCAAAATAATTTTAAAAATATTTAAAAAAAAAAGGAAAATTTTAGATTACGCTGTACACCATGATTATGAACCAAGAAGTAAAAACCAAAGTTTATTTATTTTTGGAATTCTTTTTTCGGTGAATCAAATTTGACGTTTTTTATTACTTTCTTGATTGAAAGGGTTATTTTAGTGGAGACATATTCGTATGATTTATCAACTAAAAACTGAAGACTTTTTTTTGGTAATGAAGTGGTCATGGTCCGAATGAAATGATTATTCACATTTAGTATCTTATCGTTTAGGTTTCGATAATTGTTATTAGGCCAGTTAATGAGTCATGTAACGTACGAGAACATATTAAGCGGAATATTATTATCGTTTCGGTCGTGTTTAATAATAATTACTAATAGTAATTATTCGAAATTAATTACATTGAACCCGGTCCTTATAAATACCGCCACAATAATAATTGGACGGTGTTATTTTTAAACGTGTGAATTTTCAATTTAGAATATTTTACATAACGACCCACGTAAGGTCAATGGGGCGACCTTATGCTGCTGGTGTAATTATAATACATTTTTATTTTTACTTTCTTAAAGATGTTGACAATGAAACCACCGCGGTAATTGTTTATAGTGCACTCGTCGAGGAAATTCTCATATATTTTCTATTCATAGAGCAAATTTTCTTATCATTATTTTTACTTTAAATCGAAAAATAGCTACAATTTAATATTAAAAAGAATAATTTAAATTTTAAATAATAAAAAAGAATTGTCCGGAATAGATGTTGATTTGAAGCTGAACTATTTGAAGACAGTATTGTAAAAGCTAACAACGTCACAAGAATGGAACATTGGTATGATTTCATATTTAGTGAAAAAAACCATTATATTATTATATCAAGCGTTTGTATTACCTATTAAGAGAAGAAAGATGTAACTGTTCGATAACCTGTTTTGAGTAATTACTCTTTGAGTTATTTGCATTTAAAGTATAAGCAAGGATGGAAGTGCATGTGGATGTATAAATAATAGAAGTGTGCGATTATTCAAATTTTGAATAATATTATCAACGAATTGAATTGAATTACTCAATTGAAAAATATGCTAATTTATGCAAAAAATTATTCAAAACCGCGAATAATGCCAGTTATTTATTTAATTCTATACTCCGAAATTTTATATGAAAAAATGTAGTATAATGAATATTGTATGTTTTGGGATCTTGTATATCACATTGTACAATATATGCGTACAATATATAAAAACAACTATACCTCTAAGAGGCTCTACAAATACTTATTAAGGGTAAAATTAATACGCTTTAGTTAATAATGTAAGACCTAAATCATGCATTTTAAATACAAATAATAATAATAAATAACTATACAAAATGATTACAAATGTATAAAAGAAAAAAAAATCATTTTAAAAAGTCTAATATCTTCTTACGACTAACATATTGACTATATACACGTAGCTGGGCCATATAACTAACCAACTGCCATGTACTGCAGTTGAAATGCGATTTTATGTTATTATCCAATTATTAATATTATAGTATTATATACTCTATATTCAGATAAGCTGGACGAGCCATATTGTTATTTAGTTTTGTTATTTAGGATTTACTATAATATTATAACCGACTCCGGACCAACGGTCACGTACCGACTGGATCCCACGTAATATTATTTAGGTGTATAACGTCAAGCTGTACATAACATTAACTAGCTTCAGCGTTTAAAAAAAATATAAGTAACATAATAATAATATTGCCTGTTGCCTTCCAAAACGATGATATTTGCAATTATTAATTTTTGAACGAAAAAAACATCATGTTTGAACGTCTGTCTAGGTATAATTACAATATAATAATACCTAATAAAAAAAAACCCTCTCGATTAACGTCAGTATGTCGTTTGACGTAGACAGGACAGACAAAAACCGTGCAATAATCGTTTCATAAAAAAAATAGTTTATTTGCAAATAAATTGCTATTACAGCAAAGTTTTGTTTTTTTTATCCTGTACATAACGTTAAAAAAACACTATTATATGATTCACAGGTGAGACCGTCATACCGGTTGATTTTTTTATGATCAAAACAAATCATAGAAAATTCTTTTAAAGGAAATTTTTAACTGTATACAAAATTAAAAATCAAAACTTTTTATCAATTTCGACATGACAGTTGGGAAAGGAACATAAGGAATTCAGCAGAATGTGAAGTAAGCACTAAGCTTCTTAGTTGAAATTATTTCTTATTAATATTCTTAAGAATTTATTAGAAAAAAAAGGAAGGTATATTCAATGTTATTGACCCCTGGGCCGGGTAAATCCCAATTTACTTTTTACAGGGTTTGAGCTGTTGTAGGCCCTAATGGAAGGAAGCAATAATAATATTATAATGATGATGAAATAAACACTTCAAAGTGGTTTCCCAGCGGAAAATCACACTCAGTACAGAAAAATTAATAAAACAAAAATAATAAGTATCATTGACACGTTGAGTTTCAACTTACCATATATAATAGACCTAGTAATAAATAATGATGAAATAATAAAAAATTCTGATGAAATTTGAAGTATAATAAAATCACTCACAAAAAACGCCTATTTGCCTATCATGAATCAGTTAATAATAATAAAAAATATCGAGTTAAAAATATTTATGTCGAGTGCCAACACAACTTGTAAACAACCTGTGAAAATATAAATGCTAATCTTTTAATAACATAAATATTGAAAGGATAAGTGGTTTAGCTTACATAGTTCTTTAGCAGTAAGATTTCTGACCCCGGGTAGTCAATTTTTTAATTAAAAATGCATCAAAATTGTTTGATAAATTTCACGTTTTTTATTATTATTACCAAAACAGTTTATTTATAATTTGGATACATAAAATACATTATGAAAATTAGATAATTAATGTTACTTAATATGAAAACCTGATAGAAGAAAGTGCCCAGCGGCCCCACTTCAGTTACAAGCTACTTATTGGTTTAGGTCTCTTGGTCATCTTCTTTTGAGGCGGCGGGTTGGATTTATAGGGTTGGTGAGATTATGTAAGTTAGAAATTAAGGGATTTGTATGATTTTTTACTTGTTATAAAAGTTTTTGTAAAATGGAAGGGTTAGATTTGGCTGAATTTTTATTGTTTCTGTTTAAATCTGTTTAAAAGAGTTTTGTAGTTAAGCTCAGTAAAATAGTATAAATCATATTTCAAAAAAAAAAAACAGTATTTCATGATAATTGCTATAATTTAGCAAAAATAGTTCAGATTGAGTTGAAATTTCAATTAATTATTAACGTTATTTATATAATATAAACAATATTATGTCAGTTATAATAAATCGATTTAAAAATATTTAACGACAGTGGCCATTAATGATGTATGTTTACACAAACAATCATAATAGCCAAACATTTTTTCAATTCTGAATAGTATTTATGCATTTTGATAGTTATACTTGTGTAATAGTATTCATCGATTTTAAAATGTTTCTAATCCTTTCTTTATACATGTATGTAACGCATGATATGCTCGTTATAACTTAAAATATAAGAACCCTTTAAGTTGTCGACAAAGAAATCTAACATACTATTTTCCACCACTTAATGATTCTCCTGAAACATGCTTGATACCACAAATGTCCAGTTTTTTCACCAATATATATTTTCGAAATATTATTAAATAGAAAAGATAACTATTTCTTGTCTCACCATTCCGGTTGTATTTCAAGTAATCCCAATTAAGAGTTTCGTATTTCAAAACCCATTTCATTATATTTTCTTAATACATAACATTTTAAGATTTCACAAACAGTATAAAATTTACATTTTATACTACATTTTTGAACATTTCGTTTAATACATTATGAATGGATTATAAAATAATTTTACATTCGGTTAAATAAGCAGTAGTCTATTTAAGTGAATTTAAACTCTATTATTATTCATTAAACAGTATTAACAATAATAATAGCCCAATACATAACGTACTGAATCATAATTTCTTATTAAAATGGTTTTATTTTGCAGGCTTCTGTTTTTTGCAAATGTATCTCACAATATCATTAAGTAGAACTTTATCTACATAGTCTAAAACAAAAAAAAAAATCCGTGATATAATATATATATTGTTAGAATATAATATAAAATATATATATAGCAGTTGAACAGCATACGAAAATACTAACCACCATACTTTGGCTATAAGCGTTGTGTTAAAAGTTATATCCTTTATGATCTACATTACTTTAGGTAACTTGATTTTTTCTCTAATATACTTAGGTAGAATAGATTTTACAACGCAAATAGTTGTAAAACAATTAACAAATTAACTTATTTAAAAAATTATACAAAGAAAATATTGTTTTAAAGATAAAGAGTTATGATATGTTTTTTTATTAAATATTTTGATATTTAATTTATAATTATGTTTTTATCAGCATTTAAATTCAAAGTGTTACCAAGGATTAAAAACGTTATTGAGACAAAATTTTTAATATTTTTTTATATCTACAACAAATGCTGATTAATATTTTGCATCAACTCTAAAGAATGTTTTTAATGTATGTGTAAATGTAGTATATTTAATGGTTACTTATATACAGTGGCGGCAATTTGTTTTCTTTGCGATATTCAAATACATTCATTGCATTATGGCGTCCCACAATTTCCAATAATTGAGCCGTAGTAAGTGTACTTCCCGGTTCAAGGCCGAAAAATTTTAGAGCTGCTTTGAAAGCTTTATCAACAACCTGAAAAGTATTTAAACGCGTCATTTAAAATTATTTACTTGATATAATAACATATTAAAAAGTATGTTAATTTAAGCGTTATAATTATTGACAAGATTTTATAAAATAAATTGAAACTTTTGGCCTTAAATCTTCTGAGATAATAATATATTTTGGTCCATCATACATGATTCGCAATGTACTATTTATATTTGTATAAAAATATCCAGAAACTGCTGAAAGTTACCCTAATAATTTTGTATGAATAGTTATGTCAAAATATTATTTATTTCAAACAGTTAGTCAATTAATAAAATATTCATACAGTTAAATTAACAGTTTTTAAATAATCACTAGCTGACCTTTATTATATTTTTAATTTGTCAACAATAATGGCATTCAAATAATTTCCAAACATGATAATTTAAGAAAAAAAATTAGTGAATTTGACAATAATCAAAAAGGCAATTGTTTAGTTGAAACAAATTAATTAACTAGTGTTCACAATTTCTGTTTCATAAAAAACAGTTTATTGCACAAAAAGAAGTACAATAAAGCAAGTTGCCTTTTAAATGGATTTGCCTTCAATGACACAATTTACTAGCCGGTTTTATGAAAGCGAACAAAGAAAATTGACAAAAGTAACTTATTAAAAATATAAAATTAGTAAAGTAAACGTATAAGATTTAGAATGTCTTTTTACAAGAAGATTAGATTACCAAATTTTCTTGATCGGTTTATTCTGTATTTCTTATGTTTTTATATAATTTAAAAAAGCATTAAGTAAAGAAAAAATATATATTATATTTTCTCGCTTGGTTCTTTCTTCTAATTTGTCTACGCCTTCTATCTCCTTCTGTGTATTTTACATTAATTTTGTCTTCTTTTTGATTTTAAAATAAGAATTAAATTGCAATTGGACTAAATTCGAAACTTAAATTTTCTTAATGCTGTACCGTGGCTAGTTTTCGAATATCAGCATGCCTAGTCATAATAATAGTATTTAACCGTGTCTTGTTTTTTATTTGACAGCTATTATTTTTTTTAATTGTATACTTTTGGTAGTTAGTAAAAATCTACTGTCGTTTCTTAATCAAATAATCTTTTGATAAAAAAAAAGGCGCGACGAGTTGTATTTGTTGTCTGTGCACACTAGATTTCTTTTTGCAAAAACTAATCTATCAGTGTTTCTTTTGAAGACATTATATCTTAATATATTCCGTTCGCGTATCAGTTATGGATGTTTTACAAGCATTGTCTTAACACAAAAAAAAAATTGCATTTCCCACCGGATACCATTAACAATCGATTTCTTACTGAAAGTAAATTCATTCCCCTATGTTTTATATTTATTGCCAACATTTAAAAAATTGAATTTTATGTAGTCTTACTGTAAAAATGATGTGAAAATTAAAAAAATAGCTTAAAAGTAATTTTAAGGTATAATGAGTTAAGCCAAATTTAAAATATGTTTATTTTTACAAAATATAGCATTGCCGAGCAGAAAACGCTTTGCCATATTTATTCTTCTAATTGTGTTACTGCCATCTTAGATCTAAACACTCCATACATATCATATGGACAATAAAACATATACTAAAAGTATGGATATGAGGAAAAATTAAACAAAAAGTGTTATTACCAAAAATAATAGAAGTAATAATTTTAGCTTCGACGCAGAGCTGAGAAGGACGAAGGTATCGTTTTGACTGTACTGGTTTAAATCTACTATCCACAGATTCGCATCGAAGCGATTATAAGATATCGTGGGTCCAGACAATACTTTCTCAGCTTTGCAGCGAAGCTAAAATACATTTCTATCAAAAATTATTTGTTAATATAATATTAAACATATTATTAATAATGTGTTCTACTGAGGAAATACGATTTGTGGTCGATTGATGTGCACCAAGTAAAAACTATTTTGTCGTCAAAAATTATTAAATTAATTATTCTCTGAAAAATATCTAAAGCCATTTCTTAAGCCCTGGACAATAGTAAATAATATTTATAATATTGTAATGATAATAAATAAAGTAGTAGTGCTGTAAACCGATTGAAACAAAACACATTCATTTGCTTATAATAAAAAACAATAAATCGAATGATCGAACGACAAGGCGGAAGGGACGAGGTGGAAAGAAACGGCACGTGCGATCCACGACGGCGTGCCGCTTAGACTACGTGAGCCGATATGCGTACACACCGGCGCTGCAGCCGGCGTCACGCAGCGACCCGTACCCGGTACGGGCGGACGCAGCGGCATGGCGCACGTATACTACTGCACACTGCACGCCGCCGCTGCAGCCGCCTATCTGTAGAGCAGCAGCAGCAGCTGTTGCGCCAGCCGCATAGATAACGCGTACCTTTCTCACGGCTCACATATAAGATGCGTTACGCGCACGCCGTTCAACCGACTGACGACCGAGAAGCGCCGCCGGCAAGACGACCGATCCGACGAACCGTTCGATACACACGTGTTGCGTACATTTTTTGTCGCACCGGACCGCCGCAAACCGGTTACATTCGATTATTATAGTAAATAGTAAAAAACATATTAGCAGCAGCAGTAGTAGTAGTGGTGCGTCTCGTTATTATTATTGTAGTATCGTACTCCTGGACGACGACGACGGTGCGTTATAACATAAATCCTAACGCGTTACGCGCACGCACGCACACGCTGCCCGACGTAGGCGACCCGCGCCCCACATACAGACGTCGACGACCACTGTAGCCGCCGCCGCCGCAGGCAACGCATCCGATCACTGACAAGCCCCGCAGTCGCCCGCCAAAACATGTCGGCCACCGGTGTGCGCTGTTGCGTCGCCAGATCGGTCCTCGTGGCCGTCGCCGCGTTGGCCTCGTGCACGGACTCCGCGACCATCGTGCTCAGAATGAAAGGTGAGTGATACAATAATAATAATATTGTAAATAGTTTTTTAGAAAAATAATTCAATTTTTTCCATAATGCGTTTGGGAGTTTTTTTGGGTTTTTTTTACTTGTTTTTTATTCGTCGTTCAGATTTCAGTCTATAATAATAATTATACTTAATAATAATTTGACCCGGCGACACATTTAACAACAACAATATAATAATTTTCTTTCGTCGGAGAAACGCTTGTACGATAATTATTATTATTAATTGAAACGACGCGACGGTTTATAATTATTATTAAAAAAAACAAAAATAATCGAATGTAACATAACACAAATTCCGTACGCTTTTTAACGCTGTCAATATCGGTAATTATTATTCATGACTAATGTATATATAATAAAAATATGTTCAGCTACTATACATAGGGTGGCACGGTTGGCAAACTGTGCACACTGGCGTGCGGTACAGGGTAATTGGTTAACTACGACCCAGTCGATAACTTGGGAGATATTACTTTTTTGTATTACACAAAAATAATAAAGCCCTATTTTTATGCGGTAAAACTTCTGAACCATAATATATACTTTAGTGACTTTTTGAATTAACAATAATATCTTGTTGAATATTTCGACTGGTTGAAGTTATTAAAGAACGGCCAGTAAAAATTCTCAGTAAATTAATAGTTAAATAAAAAAAGTTAATCAAATATATACCGCTTGGAAACTCAAAAGCTATTTGGGTTTAAACACACGAGGGATGGGGTTATATTGTTGAATAATATAACTGGTATAAAAGTATTGAGAAAAAATAATTTAAAAAAGTCTAATATATTTTTAAAAGCTATTGAGCTAACCGATCATCCTGTATACTCGTACAATAATAATGTTTGTAGTCCACATACACACACACGCTGACACTATTAATGAACTGATCCTGTGTATCGAAAAAGGTCATCGTATTTGTTCGAAAAATAAAACAATTATGGCCACGACGACGATAACGATTATATTTGTTTGTTTCAATTAAACCCTTCAGTATTCTTTTATTCCGAATGAAAAAAAAAAATATATATATGTTTATCTAATTGTCTCTGTGCGCATCATCATGCCATATTCTACAACAGCGGCTAACAACCGGCACGGTTTAAGTATCGAATAGCGACAACCAATAAAAAAAAACATAAAATAGTATATTGAATATAACATATTATTATCAATATATTAATAATATACTCTTCGGTTAAAAACGGCTAGTGCGACAGTCGATTAACCGTTTATTGGCCAATATTGTAATTTAGCTAAAATAAGGCCCAATCGTTTAGTTGGAATGAACTTGAACTTATTTAAAAAAAAAAATTAACATTTATTTATAAAAAAATTAACTACTAAAACGAGTTAAAAAAAAGCAAAGAATAACCCTGTTATGTATAATGGAGATATTTTGACTCCAAACCCCAATTGCTAATTTTTTAGAGTAGAAAATAAAACAAAAGCAACGTACTGACCTCTCGTTTTATGCATATTTTACATCTTATAATTGAAAATAATTGAAAAAACTTACTTTTTGAATTTTCTATATTTTAAATTGTTTCCAAAATAATAAACCAAGAATAACTTAACCTTACTTCTCTCATAGGTAATTTTCTGGTTATTCTCATAATCAATAATGTATAAATAGTAGTGAAAATGACCCCGAAAGTAATGATTATTACTATACCTAGTTATTTTAGTAATATTTAGCATATTAAATACTTATTGACAAAAAAAATTGGTCAAAACCGCAGTTAACGAGGACTTAAGTTTTCAATTTTAGTTGTTTTAGTGCAGTGCAAACTGTTATTTTTTAGTCTTTTCAAAACGGTTATAGTTTCTGTTATTTACTATTAAAAAAAAAAAATCCGTACACACCTGTTTGATTTTCTTCTAACGAGAACGCACGTGTCGAAAGTTCGCGTTTTTCCCTTCTCTCTCCCTCTCTTGTATTCACCCACCCCTACTTTATGACGTGTAATGGTGGTGCATTGTTTATTTTTGTTGAAAACCCTCCATTAAACCTTACGGCCTATACTGGCTGCACCGACCTTAGAGAAACCTTGATATTAAAATTCTCAGAAGAGCACAAAAAACGAGTTCCGGCTTATATAATGTATATTATACAATATACACATACAGGGTGATACATTATAAGGATAAGTCACTCGTTTTCTTACTTTTAAAATTGTCAGATATATGCGTTTCTTATGGGATTTTTGGGGCTTAGGGGTGGTTTTTCGAGATCAAATGTTTAGTTGAATTCTATCCTGAATGGCAAACCTATTATAATTATTGTGAATTAGTAGGCCAAGTGAAAATCAATTTTTGTCCGTGTAGTAAATTCTTCATTTTAATTGGATAAATCCCATTTACATATTTCCAATTATTAGGAGTTTGGAAAACATTTGTTTCTTACACTTGTTAGCTACCGAAAAAAAAACCCCTAAGATTTTTAATTTTTTTTTTGTATTCCATACCGTTTTCAAGGTAGGCATTTTTTAAAAATATGGGTAATATTTGCTTTTGCATGTAAAAATAAATAAACAAACAAGAAGGTCAAAATGCATGTTTTATGTGTATTTTTAATTAAGATTTCAAAAAAATTAACACACTTTCAGAATACTCTCGAAATATAATAAGACCTAGAAAATGTTTGTTGTAGTGTAAACTCAAAATAAAAAAAAAACTCAAGTGTTAATAATTTTCCTAAAAGTATTATGTAGTGCAAGTTTTTTGGTGACTCTTAGCGTACAGAAAACCAAAACTTAAGTATAAATGTTTCGAAAAATAAAAATCACAAAAGTGTTCAGTTGTTTTCTTTGGAAATTAGCGTCTCTCCGTTTCCGTCAAATGGATCACCCTGTATATTGTGTTTCCATGTTATATTATGGCAGTTGCCAGTTGCCTACGTTGAAAGACCCACGTACGCCATCGACACACGAATCAAACGGTGTAATATTTTTTTTATTAGAATGTGCCATTCAGAGACGGTCTTAACACACACACGCTGTAAGGTAAACAAGGGTCTACGGGTAAACAACGACATCCGGCCAAAGGAAAAATAGGCGATTATTGGGGTGCACGAAAACGTCGAATTGAACCAGAAAAATATGTATAAAATAACAATTTAACAAAAGCCCAAATGCCTTGGCCCTAGCCACGCCGTTGTAAAATGTTTAATCCGCCCTGGTAAGAAACGGAAAAAATCTAAGTTATAGACAACATCCTACATATCAATGTAGGATTTCAGCAAAAAATACTTAATCCCCATAGCTCGCCGTTTATGGTTTTACTCGCCGCATCCTTCTTAGGACGTTTCGCCATCGTCTCGGGCCACGTGTTCCTTGGTCGGGCATCACATGTAAGACGGTCGTGTGTGTGTAAACTCTATTATGTACAACACAAAATAATTTTTGCAATACTATTACTATTGTGATAACAGTAGTAATCATTTCCCGTCCGGTAGCTACGGTAAGTCGGCCGCAATCGGTCAGGTTGTTGGCATAACAATAATAATATTTATTATTTTATATTAATATTATTATTATTATTTGTATTGATTCAATTCAAAAGTTGCTCATTAGGTCGGATCGCGGTCGTCTTTACCGAGGTCGTTTAAATGAACGTTTAATTGTTTTTCTTCACCACACGTTTATACTATGATTATTCGTTATAGTATTATTGTTATGCATTTTACCTATACATGTATTCCCATGTTATTGTTTTTATTTCGTTTATTAATATTATATTGTTTGGTTCTAATCGATAATATAGAAAACGTAATGTATAAATATATGTGTATTACACACAGAGTTGTGCAAATTCTTATTAGAATATAAGAATATAAGTTTTGTGCAAAATAGTGGTTTAAAAAGGATTTCCTCAAAAAAGTACTTACAAACTAATTATGTTTGAAATTATTGGAATAATATTTTTTTTTAATTATAACTTATACTCGAATTATGTTTTATCTAGATGTCATTTTATTTAAATTATGCACAACTCTGATTAAACAGAATAATACGATTTTTTATTCCGTAAAAAACTACACTCAAAAAAGCAAAATACCGAAAAAGTTGCCATCCTTTTTTTTTGGAAAGGATTTTTGTAGTTTAAAAAATATGCACATTTTTAGTGTTTTTCTAGATTTTTAAGAGAAATTGGTTACATTTTTTTTAATTTTCCACCCTATAAAGTACCTTTTGGATACAATTTCTGGTCTATAGAGTTGCTACATAAAGAAATCGGTTTAGCGGTTTGGATAATATTGTCGGTACAGACACAGAAAACAAATAAATAACTATTTTTCTTTCTCGGCAAAGCTAAATTACAATTTTAATCGCTATATATAAACACTAAACAGTAACTACAATAATAAATATACATAGACTATTACTAAACGTAAAAAAATGTTAAGTGTTTTTAATGTTTTTAAGTAAAGTGTAAACAAACGCCTTATTATTAAATTATGTAGGTATTTCGTTTAATTCAAAACACATTTTTGTCTAACTTTGCGGTAACCGACTAGATACAGTTATTAATTGGGTTGCAATCAAATTTTTTTTTTTTTAACCATGATTAACTGTTACAATAGTAGCCTTGTATAATATGTACATTTAGTATAGGTAATTGATTTTTTATCGCACACCTTTGTCCTTGCGTCGTGCTCCGAAACGAATCCCTTAATTAAATATTTAACTAGAAATAATTTCTCTTTAATGTGCTCAACTAGACTTTATATAGATAAATTAGTCTCGATTGGACAGGAATGCAATTTACAGATGGTAAAAACTTTGTCGGAAAATTGCGAATAAAACAATTTTGTTTGTACAGTGAAATGTTTAAGAATTTTTTTTTGAGAAATAATATTTTTATACTAGTTTAGGCGTACACAACTAAGCTATTTAAATTAATTTTTTTTTTCTTCAAAAATTGAAAAATTGTACTAAGCCAAGCTACTTTGTCGAGTATTTAAAATATGCCAGTCTCTAACTTGTTATGTTGATTTAATATAATGATAAGATACTAATTTTTTGTTTTCATAAAATAATTGCAAATTTTTTGTAGTTCTTTTTTATGTTATTTTACAATATATTATAAAACATACTAAACAATTACCATCTTTTAGTACATTCCGGTGCTCTATGAATTTTTGAAACTCAATATTGTCTTATATTGTAAAATAACCTAAAGTGCTTTTCTCCAAACGGGAAGACTACAATAATGCAATTGTTCGAAGTGGTAACGAGCGTCTTATCCTTAATGAATCACTCTGTTCACATCATTTACTTTTATAGTAGTATTATGTTATGTTACCGTGTGATTTAACTATCAATATATTTATTGACCGGTCGGCAGAGCACGGTGCATGTGTGTTCTCTCGGTAGATTTAAAAAATAAAAATGAAACGTTCATCGCCTAAGGTCTCGGGGTCGCCGACCTTTGTTTGTATAATATGCTTGAGAACGAATGTATGTCCACGGTTGCCGCTGCACGGTGCAGCGGCACACGTACATTTCCCGTAAACACAATATTATCATGTTGCAGGTTGATTGTGATTTGTAGATTATTATAATGCTGTATTGTTAATATTGATTTTCTTTTTAGATAGCGCAGAAATGGTGTTTAAACCCGTCAGGACCGTGTTGGCAGGCTCGGCGGCCGCGGTTTCGTCTACCGCCACCACTACGACCACCCTTGGCGAGTTCAAAGGAAAAACCACCGTTACGACCCAGGGAGGATTCAATTTCACAGCTATGCTCAACATAGCCAACAACGTCTCCCAATTTATGGGTAAGTCTGGTGCACACGCCTTTAGCATATAGGTACTTAGACTAAAAAAATAATATAGGCGAAATTCCGTTCGAAGTATCAGGTTAGGTGTAGATAGGTAGAAAATAATATATAAAATATACTGTTTTTATTTTATACGAATTATACTCGACAATTAAAAACGGTCAGTACGAAGTTTGATCGACTCTTTAATGACCAATGAAGTCTAGTTGGCCCAAGGAGTTTGTGAGGTTCCACCAACTTAAAATTCTTAAAAATATAACCACTTATTTATAAACCACCAAGTGTTAATTAGTAGAGAAAAAATACAATACAAATACAAAGGCGACACTCTTTACCTAAATTCGCGTTTTAATTTCCATACATTTTTTTTAAGCTTGAATGTTTCAAATTGAAACTTATTTTTTCAAATGTTTTAGGCGTAAAACAGGTTTATTCTCAATAAAAAATTCACGCTTTAAATTCGCAGTTAATTTTTAAAAAACAAATTAACAAAATATTACCCCTACCTTTGGCATATTTTCTGGTTATTTTGATATTTAACGATACACAAATGGTACTAAAAAAAAGGGACCCAGATGTTTTTTAGAACCTGATAGAAGCCTGAAAAAAATCTATTCAAAATATATATATTTTAATGGGGTAGGTTAAGTTTGGGCAAGTACCTAGGTCCTAGGATACAGTCATACTGTGACAGTGATTCCATCTCCGAGTATCTAAAAGGCGAAGGACAAGTGGGGCAAGATATTAGGTTAGAATTTTGGTTCGACTTGGAAGTGTAGACCTTTTTACAGAATTTGGGTAGAAAAAAAGAGTTTTTGTAGGATTTTGAACTTAACCCTCTATTTGTGCGAACAAAATACTCAAGAAGTTGCGGTCAGAGACTTGAACGTTCGGTGCCGGTCTGCCATAGTGTACGGTTAGGTTTTAAATTTCAAACATATATAGATTAATTAAGACCCAAGTGGTTTTAATCACCCCCTCATTTAAAAATGATTATTTTTATTAAACAATTAAACAGTAAAATATAATATAATATGTTTTTATACATATTTTATGCGACCTTTTCATTCCAATTAAGTGAATAACTTTCTCATTACCAAAAAAAAAATTTTTTTTTCGAAAATAGTGTACTGCGTTGATAACAATGAAAAATTCTTTACATTTAAACAGTAACGCGCACAATACACCACAACGGCTGTTGTATAATGTTTGTTGTTTTCCTTAACCAGTTTACCCGACACTAGCGGTAATTTTATCGTTTGTCTGTACAAAATAATAATTCTATGTTGTCTTTATAATTATGATCTTCAACATTATCCTCGTCGACAGGCTTGCCATTGCACGCAAACGACACAATACATAACAGCTATACAGGATGATCAATTTTCTGTAAGACACTCATTTCCTTTGGAAAATAATTTGTGATTTTATAGTTTTTATTTTATCGTAAATATTATAAAATTACTGAATATTTACATTTTTTTTAGTATTTTCCAGAGCTCTATCGACTTTTGAAACTTAAATGGGAAATATTATACTTAATATATATATTTTTTAAATTAAAATGAAAATTTTCTAAAAAATGTTGACCGGTCGATAATCAGTTTAGGATAATTACTTAGAAACGTTTATAGTAATTAACTTTATTAAAAAATTTAATTCAGAGTTGATAAAGCTCTGAAAAAAACTAAAAGATATAAATATTTGATAATTGTTTAATATTGTACAGTATTCAATACAATTAAAAACTGAAATAATTAAAACACAATTGTTGTTAAAAATTGTATTTGCAGAAAAATACTTAAAAACTGGAATTTTTCAGTTGAGCCACGGCTCGTTCATTAAAAATATAGACCCCAATTATTGATTTAAGTACAACGGTGATAATGCACTATGTTTTGGTAGTATATTTTATTTAATAGCCTTTTTTACATTATTATTATTGTTTGTTGGTGCGTTTTAATTTTACAATCCAGTCCGGACACGGTGGCAGGCATATCATTATAAAATTCTCGATTATATTATTATTATGCCGGCTGGTGACGATTTTTATCATCATAACCGTCGCCTTATCGTTGATTCGTACTTGAATATCAAACCCCGATAATAGCGATTTAATTGTTATGTTTAGTAATCTTCGACTTGTAACTTATTAGTCATCGGTTCAGGGCAAGGTGAGAGACCGAGCTAGGCACGCGCTTAGAGACCAATAATAATAGTTATTAATATTATTCGTTAAGCGTATTTCGGATACACCGTTGTGGTGATCCGTTTAACGTGAGACAACACAACCGTGTTGTGAACAAATAAGTATGTATTCTTTTTGGCACTGTTGTAAGGGGTTTTCGAGTGTATTCGTTGGAACATTTCAAAACGCTTACAATTAATTATCACAATTAATTTACATACAATGTAAAATGTATTTCGTTTTCGTTTACACGAGCGCGTGCGTGCGCATAATATAATAAAGTTGGTATAATATCATATATATTATATTTTTTTTTTTTGAAACGCAAAACGATGATGACATCACAAGAGAAATCCAGTATGGTAACCGGAAAGTGCGCAATATCATATTGTAGTATGAGATCGCAAATGCTTTTTGTATTTAAACGCCAAAGATGGCAGTACAACATTGGCAACGTGGTCATTACATGATATAATAATATATTATTGGACATAATACCGTTTGTTTCGCAACAATATTATTCAATATTATTATTTACAAATCCAAGTGTTGTTGGAACTAATCGTTTATTCTCTTAAAACAAAAAAATCTGACGAAAAAAAGAGAATTTCTATAAAATAAAACGGTGTAGTGTATTACTGTGAGATGAATGTGAAGACACATTAAAGTTTAGTCTTTCTTTGTATGCCATTTTGCTCTCTCCATCCCCATTGACAGGATGTTCCTTGCCTGTCAAATATTTGGAATTCTGAACAGGAAAATTTTGTCAAATTAATTGTCTTTCTATAAGTTTGCAAAATTAAAAAACTTGCACAACTCAAAAAAAAAAAAAAAGTAGGATAGTTAAAAGGAATACCTAATATGAGTTAAATTACTATGATATGTAATATTAATGCATGTCGTCACTAGTAATATTATATTAATCGAGTTGTAATTTTTTTATTACAGACGAGGAAGATCAGGACGGTGCAGAAGACGAGGACGATGCGCTGTCCGCCGTGTGGTACCTGGCCGCTTTCGGTGGACTCGTGCTGTTCTTCTTCGTGGTCACGTGTTCCGAGCTGTTCTTCGGCAACCCCATTTACACGCGCCGGCCCGTCGAGCTGCCGCATGCCGGCTACCTTCGGCGGCACGTGTATGGGCGTCGCAACCAGGGATACACGCCCGAGACGCCGCCACCACCGTACCATCTGTTCGCACCGCCCAGCTACGCGGACACCATCAAAGGCCTGCCGCCGTACGAGTCGGGCAACAAGAAATTAGCTGACGTCTACGTGGTACCGGTGCACGGTGGCGGCGGTGTAGGCGACACGGGCGTGACGTCTCTGCAGCCGCCACCGTTCAACGCGGCAGCGACCACCGGCGGTACGATTGCGGCGCCCGCGAGGACGCCCGACGACCGTAAGCCGCCCGCTCAAACCAAGCGCTAAACGGACGGACCGCGCGCGTTGTCCCCGGCGGAGCAGACGGAGCAGACTGTAAGCGATCACTGCACACGGACTGAGCGGACCCTCTCCGGTCGTCTCCGCTCGGGGACACCAAGTCTCCTTTGATCTCATTTTTATGTGCACCGCATATAATTTTAATACATTTTGAAAGATAAATCAGAACGTTATTTATTTATTTATTTATTTATTTTACGCTCATACAGCGCTAGACAATATCAAACGTTTTTTTTATTATTATAATATGTACACACTACTACTAATTCCATACAATTTGTATTTTGATATAATTAATTATATTTATATATTTTTTTTTATCATCATTATTATTAATTACTTTTAATTTGTTGAACGTTATGATTTTTTAAACTTTTTTGTACATCGCGAAAACATTTAATTTCGGTCCAAAAAATAAAAAAATGAATGGAAAAAGAAAAAAAAAACACTTATTATTATGTATCGTTTGTTTGGATCGACAGTGAATCGTTATTTTTATAATTTATATGCATATATATTATTATTATTCGTATATTATGTGTGTGGCCAAAGCATTGTTATTATTTTTAAGTTAAGGCTCACGCTCCCCTCGAATTTGGTTTTTCGTCCGCGGGCCCTCGTTTCGATAATAATTATTATAATATGATCTTTGTAAGTGTTTTTTTTTAATGTTTTGTATTTTCCTATATTATTTACATAATTATATGACACGGGTTATTGTCACGCCAACGAAAACCGCCGCCAATAAAGTATTTCATTCGGATCGAAAACAGAACTAAGCTCAAGTTTTCAACAATATTTAGTTTTCAAGCAAACCGAATTTATTTAACCAAGGTTTCAAATATATTAACGTTAATAATATTGTCGTTTTTATACCTATACATATATTATATTATATTAATGTGTATTGTTTGGACCTAGTGTGAATCGTGTATTTTTTTTATTCGTATGTTAAAAACGTAGCCTACATTAGGCAATTTTTTTATTATTACTATTATTATTATTATTAATTTATTAAATAAAAATTAAAACTGTTACCAGCACAATCGGCGGATTTGTTTTGTTTCACCGCCACGATCACGCTCGATTCGTGTATCCAAAATAACAACTCCTTTCCTCTTTTCGTTCCATTTCACTTTTTCTAAATTGAATCAAAGCGTTATTTAGAAGTTAGCGGATTTTTAATAAAACATTTTTTTACTAATGATATTAGGTACTCGTGTATATCATATTGCTTACAAAAAAGGCCGCTGATGAATGACGACCAGCTGAAGTTCGCAATAAGTAAAATATTGTGAAGTAGGCGAAAATGCGAGCCGCAGTGTGACCCCAGAATAACGAAATTACATTTCTCTGGTACATATTTTGAACTTGCTACATTACTGCGACTATTTGATATAAAACATATTATGACTCATCAGTTATATTAGGTATTATCCCATTATCATATTATAACATGTAATAATAATTCGAATTTATCAATTGATCTGTATAGATTACTATACAGTGCAGTGTTTAATACCATATAAAAAAAGTATTAATTTTTATTTAAAGTGGTCACAATGTAGTTCGCCTTTTTGATTACTTCGTGGCCGAGTTTAGTACATTATATTATGATGCAGCTTTACATATTATTACTCTATGGTGACGACTGGTCGAATTTGAAATATTTTTTTTCACCGTCAAATTCAAAGTCGATCCTAAACTTGGAGGTTATATAATTAGGAAAGAGGGGGGAGAAAGGTAATAAGGATACCCACGAATATTCTAAACTGATGCATTTTGTAAATAAAAAAAAACAAAATGATTAATATCAGAGTGGAAAGTAGAAACTAGGAAGCACAAGTAATATTTAACCACTTTAATAGTATATTTCTATACCCTATCACATACCTATGATACAGGTGGACGATAATATTGTTTTGTAAATAACATTGTGGCTTTTGTTTTGTTTTTAATTTTGGCTTATATATCTTGACATGAGGATCAGAACGGACTAGACAATCGTATCGAGTGATGTTTGCCTGCGAGGTTGCCAATGTGGATGGAATTTTGCCGATTACAGTGCAAATTACACGATGTAATAATATTATGATGATTAGAAAAAATAAATTTAAAATTGCGTTTGGCTATTGACGTCACGCCGGCACGTCATCTGACAATATTTAACCGCCTGTTATTGTTTTGTTTGCCATTTGTGTGCCCGCAAAATATAATACAATAATATTATTTAACACATCATTATTATTTACTATAACAGACGCTGTCAATATTGGCAAGGAAATGGATGTATTATGTACAGGGTGATTCATAAAAAAATAAGACAAGATAATTGAAATTTTCTAGTTTTTTGTTTTCGGAGGCATTCATTTACCTTATGTTATTTTACAATATTGTACGATATTCAAATTGTTGCCAATTTTTTCCCAGAGTTCTGTCGACTTTTAAAACTTAAATGATAACGTGTACCTATACTTACTCGGCCATCGGTTTTGGGTAATTATTTTTAAAGTTAAGTACTATATTTTAAAAGTTATTATCCCAAACTGGTTGGGTACCTACCGATCGGTCAACATTTTCAGGAAATTGTTCTTAATTTAAAAAGTCTTGAAGTAGTGTCACTGTAAAATGATCAACAAATTTATTCATTATTATTAATATTACAGATTGTAAATATATTTAAAAAAAAAAAAACATTTTAAAGTCTGTTTATACATACGTAACCGTTTGAGTTTGAAAATTTGGTAGAACTTTGCAAAATCCTAAAATAGTGTAAATATTTAAAGATTTTATAATGTAAAATGACATAAACAAAAAATGTTTGCAAACATAGAAAACTTGCAATAATTATTTAAATCAAAATTTAGTTTCTTGTCTTTAAGGGATCACTCTGTAGACTTGGTTTAACAATACACATAATTATATAAGCCTTGCCAGTAGACCTGACGTCGGATCTAACGCAAAACAATACAATTTGATTATTTTTAAAATCAAACAATATATTATGCGTGTAAAAAAAAAGCAACACAATGCGATATTCTTATCACTGTTAAAAAATGTATTAAATATAATAATAGGTAATGGTTAATAATAATAATTACAACACGGCAATATTGTTTAGATACGCGGTTAGCCGTTAAGCGAACTATATGAGTCACCGAAAAATGTGTACTTTTAGGGAAATAATAACAGTTTTTATTAAAGTGAATAAACTACAATAAAAACATAATATTCTAGGTCTTATCATACTTCAAAACTTATAAAAGTTCTAAAATTAAAAAAACCTAGTAGTTAGTTTAAACATTAGTGACGAAAGTAAACATTAAAAGTTAAAACATACAGATTGACCTTATTGTTTTTAGTGTTACAAAATTGTTCAACGATTGAAAAAAATATCATCGATATATAGGAATTCATATATTGTAAAATATTTGAAATTTTAAGTAGATATTTGTAAATATGTGGAGATAGGAAGGTTCAGGGAGATTTATTAAGGATTACACTAATTTTGTATTAAAATAATTACATTTTTTTAGTTATGGATCATTACTTTTAAACTTTAATAATTTTAAAAGTTATAATCCCAAACTAGATATCGGTTGGTCAATATTTTCAACAAATTATTCTTGATTTATAGAGCTGATTAAATATTAACATTAACGAAAAAGGTTTCGAAAATATAAACTAAAAATTTCAATTATTTTAAGTGTCTTATCCTTAATTATTCACCCTGTACATTTTTATAACGAAGTTATTACTATTTTTTATCAGGTTCCACGATATTTATTTAACTGAAATTTTCATATTGTTCAGTCTCTCCACGGTATCTCATTAGGTAAAATAAAGTTAGAAACGCTTAATTTTAAAAATACAAATGTTAAAATGATTATAATAAAAATCCAATTAAAAAGTCTAGCTCTAGTTACCAGCAATGCTTAAATTTAAATATTTAAAAAATAGCTTCTATTTTCAGGGTACAAAACTGTAGAGATGGATGCATTGATGATTTAAATACTAGGAAAACTACAAATTATCTTTATAAAACATGCATCACGTGCACAAATAACCCTGCTCAACGCGAGCAGGGTCAATGTCAGTTTTTTACCAAATAAAGTTACTAGTAAGACCTTAGTCATAATAACCATTTTTATACGCCCAATTAACAATTTAACAATTGTCAATTATTTCACAATGAAAATATTACACTGTACAGAAAAATACATAATATATAATTGCGGACAAACTTACAATTTTGCCACAAAGCTTTTTTAATTGTTTTCCTTTCTAATCGAGACTAATTCAGATCAGTACAATTTACAGTCTATTGAATAGCACACTAATGAGATAATACTTCATAAGGTAGGACTTATAAACGTCTATAACATAATGAAAAAAATGTATGCTTAACGGTATTTTTTTTTATTGTTGAAAAAAATTGTTTATTTTTGCATATTTTGTGTGCTTATTAACATGAACTTGCTATAACTTCGTCAAAAAATATCAATTTTTTTATGGACACCTACTTAGTTTCCTTATTCATTTTTCGTACGGTTTTTATTTTTTACTTAAGATTTTTTTGGCTTTTTAAAATTAGAAACTGATAACAAAATCAGAAAGTCAACGACCCCAAAAATATACAGTTTGACCTATTTTGAAGTCTTTCATAATTTCATACTAAATTCCAGACTTCTGTTTTAGCTTCGGTGTGGAGCTAGGAAGGTATTAATTTTACAGTGATGTGTTTTTTTTATTGTGCCTGTTCACCTTAGAACCACTTGATTTTTTTTAGGAGGGATGGGTGTGAAATCTAATCTCTTTCACCCTGAAATTCAGAAAAAAATTATGTTTGGTCCAAATTTAAATAACTTACTGTACTGATTAATGTTTATTGTACTCGGTTCAGACTTTAGACTGTGTGTGGTTTAGACTGAGCTTGGTTTTTAATAGAATTTATAAATAGTTAATTGTGCCCGTTGTTTTCTATGCGTGGAAATAAAAAAATACAATGAATATATTTTTCTAATTTTTGTCCTTTGTTGATCTATTCACACTGGAAGTGGTGAATTTTTTTAATTTTAAGCACAACAAAGAACCTTTCGGGTATGATTTTCGATCTACATCTTTGCCAAGTGAAAAAATCGGTTTAGGAGATATCGTGGGTCCGGACACAAAAAATAAAACAAATAAATAGAAAACACATTATTGTAAAAACCTATAAAATAATAAATTGAACTATTGAAGATTAGTGGTTTTTACTTCCTGTATGCTGATGTTTTGTCTTCTTGTTTACAACAGATTATGCGTTGTGTATACAAATATTTTTTTGTACCTATATATAAAAAAATTATACATATAAACAAGTCAAAGACTAAGCTTAACACACTAGAATTCGTGTCAATGTCGGACTTCAAGGAGATTAAGTCTCTAGAGCGTGTGCGGTTAGTTGTTAATCAAAATAACACTAACAATAAGTATAATACTATTGTATACTATACTGCATAAAGCCCCCTCGCTACAATTTTTGGGGGCTCGGCTAATTGCTTAATTCTAACGCTCACGATGAAACGATTAAATTTAGATTCTTCTTGAGACCATCAACTCATAAGACACTGGTTTAAAATATCATTCGTAGAATTCACTTTCTGCCATACTTATGTATTTAACGGGTTAAATTTTTTTAAAGCTCTATAGGGGCTAAAAGGGGTAAAATTTTCGATTTAGTCATAAAACAATTAGTCAAATTTATTGAAAGAAACTGTACAGAGTAAAAACTTAAACGCTTATGATACAGTTGTAAAAACAAAAATTACAAATTGGTCTTTTAGTAATAGCAAATTTAGTAGGTACTAATACTAGCAAATTGTTTCGCGCAATTTGTATAATAATTATTTGATTAATTTCAATCATAATTACTTCTTTAGAATTTAAATGAAATAATAGTATTTATATTGAATGTGCAATTAGTAACGCTAATGTTGTTTTTTAATCGATTACTATCACAAACAAAGGGCGTGGAATTTGTCTGAAAATATCTGCGATGACTGACGTTAATGTGAAATAAATATTATTATAACAGAATATTATGTCTATACACTGTAAAATGTAACCCATTAAATGTCAATGCGTATTTACCGGCATTAAATTATTGTGAGTACAATATTGACTGTGTTATCAGACTATCAGAGGCCAGAGCATAAAAATAATAATTATATTATTATTTTACATTTTACCTATGACAAAATAATTAATGTGGGTATTGACCTAGAGCGTACACGGCGAACGCAATATTGTGTAACCGATCTAATGTGTAATAAATATTAATTTTCACAGCAAAGCCCGATAACCTCTACCGATCTGAGTTCAGAAGTGTTCTCATCATTATATTATCATGCAGTAACAGTATAAAAAAACAAAAAAAAATGCTTAAAACCCAATTTAAGTACAACGTAAACAGAAACGCCGGTTTGTATATTTTGTTAAGCACAAAAAAACGATTATACAATAATAGTTTTGAGTGGTCAAAGTAGGGCGAGGAGAGGTTAGGGATGCTTATTGTCTTCCTAAAATGTCTTAGGCCCTCGAAACAAACTTTCGAGTGTTCAGTACTACTTAACGTTTCTTCCGTTTATAGTGAAAAAAAATGATGTACTCAATTACTACTTAAACTACAAAAATGTTAACGACTATCGTGATAACGAGTCAATGTCCAATGCAGAGCAGGCAAGCTCCAATAATAAATATAATAAACATTAGATTATTTTTGACGTTTGAAAACTATATTAAAAGTCTTAAATGTTGGCTCTAAAAATGTTTTTTGTAATATTATTTTAGCGCAGAACAAATAAAAAATTGTATAACCTAGGAAATTATGTTAACTCTTTTAACATTATGCCAAAGTAGACTCTTTGTTTTTCAACACCAAAAATGTAACCTATAAATCAAATTCAAGTTAACAAACGCGATTATGATAGTTTTCCAATCTCTGGCCTCGATGAACTGTCCAAATAATAAACGTAGGTGATTCATAGTCGTATCTTAATATTTTCTTAAAATATAATCAGTATGTTTTTTTTTTTATAAAAACTTTTTGGATAAACAGCTTGTAGTTAAACATTTAAGTATGTTCACTTTTTCAAACGGAGTTTTAGGACTTGAGGTGTGTAAATTAGATTTAAAAAAAAATACACTTGGACAGTAATAAATTGCCTGTGAATGAACAGGTATCCGAAAAATATTTTCATTATATTGTCGATTTGCCTATTGGTAACAGCGACTTTCAAATTTAGAGCTACTGATTACACGTGTAATTCGAATTGACGTGTAGAAGTTCGTGTAATTATAAACACGTGTAGAAGTTCGTGTAATTATAACACGTGTAGAAGTTCGTGTATTATAAACGTGTAGAGTTCGTATAGTTATAAGCACACGTGTATCTGCAACTACACGTATTCTTACAACTGTAAGTTTTAATAAGACCTCTAATTTTACGTGATACTATTCTTTAATTAATGGTTGTCACTAAGATAAAGTATTATAGCCATTGGGTCAAGTTAGTGGAATCTCGGGTCCTACACGTGTATTAATTACACGAACTTCTACACGTGAATTCGAACTACACGAACCTTCGTCCTACACGTGTATTTTAAATACACGTGTAGAATCGTCGGCTCTACTTTCAATTGACAATAATTAGTTAGTATCCTCCCCAATACTAAAAATACAATTTTAAAAACTTTTTCGCCTTTACACTGCTTTTATAGATTATTTTTAATATTTCTTCTGTCTAAGCGTTTGTTTGAAAGTGATTCGATCACTTTCGGTTGTTCAATATTTCCTGAAAACTAGTTTATTATAATTATTAAAATTGTGACTGATACGTACTCATCCCAGTGGACAGTGATGGATTTCAGAGAGATGATATTTTAGTCCCCTCAATATTGAATTGTCTGATGAAACCTGTAAACTTATGGCAAATGGAATCATCAATACTGTTAGATATTATTTAAATATTGACTTTTAAACCGAGGCGCCGTTTGAATATTTAATTATAACCATATACCAGTTTGCTAAGTGAATCTCAAACAAAACAAGGTGCAAACTGTAACAATTCAGAACTAATCGTGGTACTTTTATACTGCGATTATGTTTTATACTTATTTAATTGCTCGTTTATTGATTTTGTTTACCGATAGTTCATTTAAGTTCAATTGAGTTTAACCGGAAGACTGCCGGGCAATTAATAGTTAAGAGCCCGTATTAACATTATAAAAGGTATTTGCTGCGGTAAAATTAAAACATAATGCGAATTATGCCTTATTTACAATTTATGTCTCTACTGTATATTGGTTATACCTAAAGGTTGGTTCAAAATGTCAGTAGTTCACGTCAAACTACGTTTTATTTGTTGCTTATAATGATTTGTTGAACATGCGGTTACTAGGCATTTTTACTTTGTTTAGTATGGAATATCTGTTTAATAAATCGCTAGATTAGCTAATATATCTAGTTATTATGAAAACATATATATATATATATATAATAATAAACATTGTGAAAAATTATCTTAGTGGTACATTATTTTTAAAGCTAGATGTACACCTAATGATGAGCAGAAGCTAATACCGTTGCTGACACATTATATTTGACACCATTTTTTTGGCTAAAATAATTAAGAATACCTAACTAAAATATATTATTTGGACATGGCATGTTACAAATCAACGTGTTGGTGCGATGACTTTTGCAAATTAAACACAATCGCGGCAATTGTATGTTTATAGGTACATATAATATTGTAGACCTGATTTTTTTTCGCTAATTCAATAGATAATAGCGTTAGGTCAATGATCAACGTAAAATATATTATGAGAATAGACTAACACTGGGTTCGCCTGCTTGGTGTTAATGAATTTTTAGCCAAACATATTAAAAAAAAAAACATATATTAGAGATCCAATTGTAAACGAAGAATTCATAAAATATGTAAACGTCATATTTTTATCAAAATCAACAGTATTTGTTCGAGGTTTTACCGAAATCTTTTAGTCCACAAGATTTCAATGCATTGCCAAATAAATAAAAAACTAAAATTATTGGTGTTTTTCTATAGAAAATATACATATCTTTTTGTATACGATAGTCGTTTACTTCACCTTATCATGTGACCCTAATTATGTTTACAAGAAACGTTTCGGGGTCTTTCAACAAACTAGGATCACTTTGATATAAAAACAAAATACCAACAAAATCGTAACATAAATTAGAATTTCCAATAAAAAAAATAGTGGTCACATAAAAAAATAGTCACTTCACTTACAATTTGTATAGATATTCGCCTAAGCTAAACATATTTATTAAAAAGTCATAATAATGAATGAGGAAATTTAGAAAATTCAAATTTTTTCTACAATGTTTCTAATTACTTTTTGATAGACATCCGTCTATTAGTATTCTATATTTCATTTTGTCAAGGCTCAACAATTTTGACATGTATATTTTTTTCTAAAACCCTATTTTGAAAGTGTTAGCGAAATAACAACAAACTCTCTACACTGGAACAAAATAGAAAATCTTTGATAAGAATTCAAATTTTGAAATATTTAATGCTACCAAGAAACTGGCTAACGATGAATACAATAATTAAATTAATAAAAAAGTTAAAAGTTTAGTAAACCAGTAAAGTTGGTGTATATTTAGCAAAAATGAAAGGGACTAATAATAAAATGTAAATATGAAATAGAACTCAAATCCGGATTCCCCAACTATCCGGATATTCAGATGTTCAAATCTGAACCGACAAGTTCAACGGATTTTCTGATTTAATTATTTCAATGAAAGTTAAAAATACTCTTTTAACCTACTTTTATAATGTTTAATGTAAACGAAAATGTTATTATTTAATTTAGATTAGAAACAAAATGTAAATCTGATAATCCGAATAATTAGTTGACAAGTCAAAGGATAGTAAAATTGATGAATTCGGATAATATTTCCAACACTATTGTAAAATTAGAACACTAGGTATTAAGTTTAATTATTTCTCAATTGCACACTGCACATTTAAAATTACCTACTGCACCTTGAAAACAAGTCTGCCACGAATAATTATAGACAAATCCAATTCGTATCTATCGTAATACTCGAAGTACATATTTGAGCACATTATTGTCTTTTTGTGTAGTTATTTAATAACCGTCAGACGAAAAAATCAAATGTCAATACAAAATATTATATTGTTTTATATACACATCGCTCGGTACGACCACTAGATGGCATTGCACGTAAAACATCCGCCGAACAGTGTGTGCAGATGACGCGTACCGGATTTACCGTACCGACCACACGGTATTTATTTCATACCTTTTTGTAGTTTTTTTTTTGTGTGTAATCATTACGACCCGCCATCGACTCACCTACACAATTAAAATGGCGGAACGTTATCAAACACAACAGAAGATGTCATTGACGCTCTTATTGTTTACCATTTTTTAATAATTCGCCTAATATACCTATTATTGTTGCAAATCAAAATTGTCCGTATGATTTATCGATTTTCTCGAAACGTTCTCCATCGAGCCCACAGTTTTCCCAGGGCCCGGCGGCCTATACGATGTGCTTGCGTTGGTTTTTACCGCAAACGAATATTGTGTCCGTCTATTGTTGGCGTACTTGAGCAGCATCGTTGTTGAGTCGATTTGCGGTCGTTTAAGAACTGTTTTGCGAGTTGGATGTTAAAAAAGTACGTGACCAGCTCGAGTGGTATCTATTATTGTCATTATAAATAGTAGTGTCGGCCGTTTGTGTGTTGATAAAGGCGGCATCTGGTCGAAATGACCAGAATATTATTATTATTATAATTTGTCGGGGGCGTTTGATTGTAATTGTCTGATTTTGATTTCAGATGCGATGACAGCCTTCAGCCGATAAGATTGGTTACAGACCATCTGACCGAGCGTCTTAATTTGGACATTGCGTGCCCTACGTCGTTGGGTGCGTTAGACACGTCAACGCCATCGATACCGCAAAAACCGTTCAAGAAACACCGTTCGACACCGGTGCAATACAATATTCGGCTTGGCACCAAAAAGACATACCAGAATGATGTGACCACAATGAACAACAATCTCATGTTCCGAAGCATGTTTTTTATGAACGAAGAGGCTAGACATTTTTTGGCACCGCCTATTCAATTGTCCACGACCGACGGAGAATATTTCACCAGGAAAACCAGTAATATAAATTTAAACACACATCACCAACAACAACAGCAACAACAACAACAAGCGGTTGTAGCGCTTGTCAACCACGACTCCAGTTCTAGCGTTGACATCAAGCCGAGTTTACAGGTATGAGTTGCAAAATATATTTTTATTGTAAATTGTACTAAGTGGCTAACTATTTATATTTTTGTAGACACCTAAAGCCCGTCCTCACGGGTGCGAAGAGTGTGGCAAAACATTTCTAATGAAACACCATCTGTCGACACATATGAGAGGTCATACTGGAGAGCGGCCTCATATCTGTCCAGAATGTGGTAAAACGTTTGCGCTCAAACATTGTCTGAGCACTCATTTGCTTCTGCATAGTTCTGAGCGTCCGTACAAGTGTTTAGAGTGCAATAAAAGTTTCACATTAAAACACCATTTGGTTAGTATTAAAAAAAAAGGTAGATAATTATTCAAGTTTTACTACACGTCTTATTTTGTTGCAGGTGAGTCACGAAAGAGTTCATACTCGGGATCGACCATTCGAATGCCCAGAATGTCGTCGCAGATTTCCCCAAAAACGTCATCTGACTACTCATATCAAATTTCATTCTGGAGAACGTCCATATTCCTGTGCTGTACGTAACAACTTGGACGGATTAAAAGTTCTTAGTTTTTAAAAAATTTTATTAATTAATTCATTATTTAGGTTTGTGGAGAAACGTTCTCTCGTGAAGAACATTTAGTCATGCACTCGAGGTTCCATGGTGGCACACAGCCCTTTGTGTGTCCAGATTGTGGTGCTGCGTTCCTGCGTAAATTTGAGCTGGTTAATCACGAACGCCAACACGGTCGCATACCCGAATCTTGCCCGGCTTGCGGCAAAGAATTTTTACAGAGGCGTACACTATTGGTGCACGTTAGAAATTGTGGCCTCAACTCGTCAACTCCTGTCCATAGATCTCCTTATACTGCGACGGCAAGCAAAGCGTGCCGGTAAGTATTTACATTGTATACAGTAATCTTAATTTGTTTGTCAATTAATATTGACTTTCTGGAACACCTATAGGGAATGTGGTGAAACATTTGCTAGCGACGAAGGACTAGCGCTTCATATGAGATTGCACATCGGGGACCATAGTTTTTTGTCAGATATTTGTAGTCTGGCCGCCACTCTAAAACAAAGCGTGCAGGGTGTGTCCAATGGCATTAACAATGTGCAAAATCATCAACAAACCCAACATCAGCCGACGGTGGCCAACAAGAAATCTCATTACTGTGGCGATTGTGGTCGTGGGTTCACCCAAAAACATGGCCTACAGCAACACCATGTCAAGTATCCGAACGCTACTTGCAAAGACAAACCCTTTTCGTGTCAAAAATGCGGTAAGAGTTTCATGCAAAAAAATCACCTAGTTCTTCATGAGCGACAACACATGGATCCGCCACCGTCAAGAGGTCGCAATGCTACCACCTCTGCGGTTCAATCGATCCAACACAATATACAGACTGAACAAGTCGGCCTACAACCTTCTCCTATCCACACGTCAATATTAGGTTTGCAGCCCATCAGACATATTCAGACATCCAGTAATCAACCCCAGCTCTTGAGGCATCCTAGCGAGGCTCATTCTGGGTCTTAATATAGATACTTTATTTCCTCATTAGATATCTTTAAAAAGTCACTAATTTATAATATTATATCTTAAGTAGACATTTTTTTTATTACAGTTTATTATTTTACTCGAGTACAATTATTTGGGTAGGGGTCCCTTAAGAGTAAACACATTAGTTCAATTGTTTTTTATTTGGCTAACGACATGTATGACTTTGTTTTACCACAGATTAAATAAATTAATCTGTGGTTTTACTGATACCGTTGCCGCTTGTAAAATGATTTTGCTGTTTGTGCTTCCAAAAGGTTTCCTTAACCTGGATTCATTTTCTTATAACTACTTTAAAAAATATTTTCAGAATTATTTATTTGAAAAATATTAAAGATTTTTTATTTTATTATGATATTAGAAATACTTTAATAAATTTTATTATTAATAATAGTTAACATAAATATAACTATTGTACGATACACCAAACTGGCGGGACATTCAAGCATATATATACCTATGTATAATATTGTTGAATAGCATCGCAAATAGACTCTGTTTCGTTTGCGTGCTAAGTAACTGTGGAGATATTTCCGTAATGTATTTATCCAATTCCTAGTAAAACGTCTTTGTGTCCTTAGTACAACATTTGTACATGCGATAATTTTTTAATTTTGTTGTGATTTTTTTTTATTAATATCTAATCAAATTATTATAATGTATCGACTTGTAAGTTAAAAAAAAAATTACATTAACTAAGGTTACGTTTTACTAAGTTTTCTGGATGTTATCCTTTTTAGAAACGTGTGAATGGTTACTTATAAAATGTATATGTTTTTTGTGAATAGTTTATATATATGTATATATATATATATATATATATACATATGAGAGCTTGGCCGAAATGTTACGATAGATAAATATTCGGTGTAATGTTGTGTATATCGTCATATTTTCAGTGGTGCAGTCGTAAGGCGTGTGCCCACCCTCTTTTCTATGTGGGCGTGTACTCGGATGTACAATTTTCATGTAAAAAGACCATGTGTACATCTTACGACTACCACTGTGTATTTTATCATTAGATCTCCTCGGCCGTTTGTGACCAAAGAGAATTTCAGTCACAGATTTGTGCCGTTCCTTCCTTGTATATACGCAAACATAAGAAGTAACGAAACCAATAAATCTGATATTATAAATATTTAAGTACATTTATATATTAAAAATTAACTAACGGTATAAAAAAAAACAGTATAACAGTAATAAAATTTTTTTTTATACTTGTTTGTACTAAATAAAATATAGTTATTATTTATTTAAAGTATAGTGAAAAAATAGTGCACGAAACCGATCAATTTGTTGAATAACTCTCGTTAACAAATATAACAAAAATTACTAATTATACATCAATTGTATTTAATTTAAATCTGTTGATGACCGATCTGACCAACTTGGTTGTCACTGCGACATTAATAATTTAAAAAAAAAATCAAAGAATTATAATGTAATTATTTATAGATGTGTGAATATAATAGTAGACGAGTAAATATATTATTGTTTTGTTTGTAGTTGGATTTTTGAAATTTATACAGAAATCCGATTGTTTATTCCACAGTGTAATCTAAAATTTGTTGTTTATTTTTTATTCATGTCTTATGAGATAGTTTGTGCCTTGGCTTGATTAAAATAAAAAAGTTAATGGCATACTAAAATTTGTCATTTTGTACAAATAATTTTCGATATTTCTATGTACAAAAAAAAAAAAATAATATATCAATAATAGCTTGGAAAGTACGGCTAATAAAGTGATTGTTGTTTGTAAGAATTCAGAAGCATTTATGTTTAAGAAACTAATGTTGTTCTAGTCTATGAGATTAAAAAAATAAAATAAAAACATCAACAATTATATATAGAAAAATAATGTACTGATAGAAAAAAAAAACACTTAAATTTGTAAAAACACCAATAAATATAACTGAGAAGTTACTAACATTAAATTTTGGAAGAGAAATGATTTCCCTGAAGTCTATCTTGTTGCTGTGATAAACTCAAGTCAGTCTTATGATTAAAATAAATTCTCTATTGATAAATCAAAGTTGTAATTGGTCAGCTGTCCTGAAAATAATAGTTAACAATATTAATATATAAGTACAAAAGTTTGTTGCCAATACCTACTTGAATCCAAACTTGGAAAGTAAAGTCTGACCGCCTTTTGCAGAGTTTTTCGACAGTCCCAGTCTCGGACACGATTTTTTTTTACTTTTTGGTGTAGGTTTGGATTTTTCAGTTACGAATACATTACTATTCTGACTACAAAATCCTTCATCAACATCATTTTCGTCAACCTAAAAAAAAAAAATGTACATTTTTAATTTTTTTTATGACGTAAATTTTAAATGGTTATTTTACCTCTTTACTTTCACTTTGTAAAGGCATGATATTTGTTTGTAGAACATTGAATTTGGTTTCATCATTATCATCCAAATTGGTTTTATCCAAGTTGTCCGTCTTGCAATCAAAAATGCTACTGGTCACAATTGGCGTTTCGTTGGACGTTTCATTAATTTTGGCCAAATTCTTATGATGATCGGATTCGTTTACATCAATAATTGTAGGTGCCAAGTTAGAAACGTCGTGGTCATTACTTTGAGCCATTACTTCATCGACTTTAGCAACGGTAGTTTTTCGACACTTAAACGGATTCACACAGTTTTGATCAAAAACACTGGGTTTGGTTTGATTAGAAAAATACCTGTAAACAAACAATAATGATGTTTTTATAGACTGCAATATTTTAATACTAACAACATTACAGAATAAAAGTGTAATTAGGTTTTGCTCCAATTGCGTTAAAAAATATTCATTGATAAATGTAAAACATTTTTTTTTTGCAACTTCCTTATTAGCATAAAACTATTGGGTTTATTGTTCATGTATACATAGTAATTGTGAATATAGTTGTACTACAAATAAAATTATTTCAACCAGATTTAAGGTAGAAAATAAAGCATATTTTCAATTACCCACTAACTACATCTTTTTCTGGATCGATAACGGTTAACTTTCTCTTGGCAAATTTCTTTAAAACTGATGGTTCTTCTTTGAGAACACGTTCCTCCTCTGGTTCTGATTGTGTTTTTAAAGTTTCCTGGTTTCGCAAGCTTCTTACAGTCGGACTTTTCTTTATCCTCAATACTTTGTCTTCACATTCTTCGGTTTTATAAATTTCTTCCAAAGTATCTAAAATATCGTTTTCATTCACTGCAGAAAAAAAAAAACAATAAATATAATAAATGTTCACCTCAGGAGTGGTTTTGTATGATAGTCAAGGTGCACTTCTACTTTAATTTATAAACTAATTATCTTCTTCTCCTACTTCACATCTATTTCAGGCTATTCAGAATCGGTTACACACCGATCTCAATTAGATCCAACCAACTCTTTGTTAATTTCCGTACGCACATTTACTGCCCCACTCTTGTTATGATTTACACATCCATACTCTCAATCTATTCTCTTTCATAACCAGGCTTGACATCTTTACTCTACCCAATTGAACGTAGGTACTAATATAATAATAATACAAACCAGAAATTCGTTTAGTCGGCGCTGGTGAGTTTATTTCGAGAGATTTTAGACAAGTGTCGCTGAACTTGTAAACCGAAGTTGAAGCCGTGTTAACAATCCTAGTTGACTGTGTGTTGTTGACTGGAGGTGAATCGTCTAACCTCATTTCAAAATTAGATAGTTTAAAATCTTTTGACCAAATACTTTTATGGCGAGCAGGTACGAGTTTTTGTTTCCGAGGCGTCTACAATAAAATACATAGTATTTACAAAGTTAATAATGGGAAAACTTATAAAACGGTTTTACTATAATTTTTTTAATAATCTTACTCGTTTAGTATCAGGATTCCAATCATCCATTACTTTTAAAGAAATAGGATCTACATTTCCAATTGCGAGTTCGAAAGCTTCATCCTTAGTTAATTTACAAGTGAGGACTTGTTCAATGTGCGATTCGGGTATTTCATTCAACGGTTTTATTTTACGTGATAATGGATCGTAAACAGGCTGATATAGGAACATGCGGTCGGCATTCATAAACTGGTCACGATATTCTGGTGGAATTTTAGCATTGACGAACGATCCTAATTTGTTTAGCGCCTAAAACATGACACATTAAGGGGAAAACTCAACAAAAGAAGCAAACAATATTATTTACTTTGTAAATATCGGGTTCACTTATTCGAGTAATAAATTGACGAGCTTTGTTTAATCCGACTCCAGAAATTGATGGCAAATAATCGCAACCAGACAATATGCACATGTAACGGAACTTTTCCATTGTAAACAGATCAGGACGCATATTCATCGCAAGGTGCAGTCTTTCCTGTTCGATTAATAAGCCGCCGCCATTTTGATCCATTTTAAACAAAACCTATAAAACAAAACATTATAGTTTTAACCGACATAAAACATTTTTCTACAATTAAAAAACGTTTTACTTTTTTACAACCAAATAACAATAAATCGGAGTCTTCCGTAATGACTATTTCAGCAATACCGCTTGTATTCAAATAAGCTAATTGTGGGTCGGCTTCGTACGGTGCTACAATGCAATCAACATTTATTTCTCTACACTGCTTAATTAAATTCAAAGCCATTTTATGAGTGACATCTACGCTGCGTCTTAACAGCGAAGATGCTTCTTTCCCTCTGTCTAATCGCATTAATTCGGCTGCTTTTTTGCGATTTTGGTCCCTCAACCTTAATAGAACAAATATTTTATTCAATTTTCTAAATGTTTACCATTGAAAATGAAAATAATTTTAGATGACATTCATCTTACATTCTTCGTTTCAATTCAGTTTCGGCTTTGGCTGGCAAGTGCTGACCGTCGAATACTAATATGGGTTTAATGTTCTTGGATAATAGCATGGTTACATATCTCATACAATAATGAACGTACCTAAGAAAAATAATAAAAACATAGCAGTTAAAATTATAATGTTTAAAATGAAAGCTTAAATGTACTCAATAAACAGAAAACGGAAGATTAAAAATATTAAATAATATATCAGTTAACACACTTAATATTGTATAAAAAAAACTATTAGGAAATCAAATTTCCAAAAATATTTTTTTACCAAGACATTTGTCAATAATATGTTATATATAACGAAGTCTAACATTTTACAATACAATCGAGTTTAGTTTTAACTGTTGAACAATAAATACAAACAAGGTAACTTTTTAAGAATAAATAATGTGAAACTCCAATTTTTCTCCTAAATTCATGCCCTAGTTTCTCACTCAGAAAGCTAAGCCGCTAGTGACCGAGAGTCAAACCATCGACAGTGGACACTACACAATGCCGTCCTATCCACTCGGCCACTGGTCCTCTTCGTTATACTTATAAATTACTACACAAAACAATAGCACACGACAGTGACACGTAATATACTCACGCAAGACAATCCTCTCCGCGGGCTAATTTATCAGCACAAGTGAAGACGCCTTTATGTAACCAGCAATATGCGTCTACCGCAACGGTGCATCCTGAATAGTCCGATATATTCACCGTAGTGGAACATTTTTCCAAAAACGGTATCAAACCTTGAATGCCCATTGTAATAATGTAGTATTTACTACACACGTACAATGTTGACTTAAAATATTATACTTAACGATTATTTTCAAATAACTGATTTAAATATTAAAAAAAAAAATATCACAGTAAATCAAAATAATTCATAGCCTGTCTCGGCATGGTCAGTCTTCGAACAGACGTGCCGATTGCCGAATGATCGAAAAGTGAAAACTGTAAAGATATAAATTAGTTTTGTCATTTTATCTTGTAGTTTTTGCATTTTGCCCGCCAAAAGCCGATGTTCATGGGCAAACCGAAGACAACCAAGCGGTTATCAATAGGTTCGACTTGAGGTAAGATCAGCTGCTGCCGCTGTGGGGCATATCTTTGATAATGGAACTTTTAGGTTATAATCTTATTTTCGAATATTGTTCTATTCAATGATAATATTGTAATTCAATTTTTAAAAATAAAATTTTTTTTCCACAAGTCTAGTGCTGTAGTACTCGGTTTAATCTTCAAAAGAGAGGTCCCATAACGACAAAATTATTTTTAAAATATTTCTTTGAAACGAAAAAAAATTAACTATTAACAAATGAAAATGTTGTTCAACACCGCATTCCGTGTGCTTGGCAGACAAATGAAACCCGTTTCCAAAAGGTATGTACCTACAAACCAGCCTGTAGACTAGAAATTGTATTCACACGAGTTTGTTATCTGTTATTTTTATCAAGCAGTGCATTAAGATTATATTCTGCGGCTACGCAACCGCTGACGGTGCCCGAGGCCGATGGCAGTTTGCAAGTTTCGGCAAAACTCGAAAAACTTTACACCGAAATCACTTCGTTGAACATGATCGAAGTAGCCGAATTCAGCGAACTCTTAAAGGTCAGGTTGAACATCAAAGACATACCCATGGGAACGATGGTCAGCGCTCCTGCCGCATCACAAGTATAACAAAATATACTTTTTAAAGTTTTTTTATATAATCCATTTTTAATTTTAAGCCTATTAAAATGTTTATAATATCAAATTGTATGAGGCGTCTAATAAGGATCAGCAAGATTTGTCACGGGTGAGATGGACACTCGTGATGGATCACCCTGATCACTGTTGGGAGACCCTATGACGAAAAACACATTGCTTACATAAAATATGTTATACTCATAACTAGGATGAAGAAGAAGATGTGCCCGCCGCAGTCAAAACTAGTTTTACAATTAAACTTATGAAATTTGACGATAAACAAAAAGTCGCTCTGATCAAAGAAGTGAAGAATTTGTTGGAAGGCATGAATTTAGTTCAGGTATAACAATAAATTAGCAGCTGTAATTTTTTATAACCAATCCGTTTTAAAACCGTTTGAATGTTGACCAATTGTATTTTTTTTATTGTTTAGGCTAAGAAGTTTGTCGAAAGTGCTCCAACGATTATTAAATCGGATATCGGTAAAGACGAAGCAGAAAAACTTAAAGAAGCATTTACTAAAGTCGGAGCAGAATGTGTTATTGATTAAGCTAATAGTGATGAACTTTGGTTTATTTTTATTTGTTCTTTTTTTTACAAAGTTTTAACTTTAAATAATGTAAGTAGTGAACTTTATTTATCAATATAAATAAAATTATTTATGATAATGTTGGTTAGTTGAATTAATCTGATAATTTGTGTAAAAACAAAAATAAACAAAGACAGACGTATAAAATTGGTAGTGGACGCTTAATAGTAAAAAAAAATGTAGATAGGTTGAATCGAGGCCATGTGGAGTTGCATATTCAGTAGCAATTTTGAAACAATATTGAACGACATAAACCATAAGGGGTTTTTAATTTTAATTAGTGTTACAGAAATTGTATTTATATGTGTTGCAGTATTTAATAAAATTGTATATTATCTAATACTAATTAAAAACCTAGACTTGATTTTCAAAATAACAAATACACATAGTATAATATTTAAAACGTCGATAAAAACTGACATATTTTATAAATAACATTTTAGAATTTGTAAAAATGTCTTGCCAAAACATAAATAACCAAAAAAATAAATGTAAAATGTGTCTAACGAAATTTCAAAAATATTTGTTTGAAATAGCTACACCTCTCCGTTTTTCTTGAAACGCTACTTTTGCTGTTTCGTTAATTTAGATGAATTTTTCATGATTTTTTTTTTATTATTATTATGAAGATCAGTAAAACAATTTATTTTTAATAACTTGTGTTAAACAATCATTTCAAGTTATTTAGAAGCGAGAAAAGTGTATTAGGATTAAATAACATTAATATTTACTTATGACAAAGTAATAACCAAAAAAAAAAAGTGTCGTCGAAAGATATGAATAAATTACAATCATGTCATGTAACATAATATAATTAATTAGGAAGTAAGAGATTTTTAACTTTATTTTTTGTATTATTTTAATACTATAAAAAATAAAAAATATCATCACAAGACTGCCCCCGTTGTCCATAACAATCATAGTTTAATCCCACACTCGTGTTGAGCTTATCCCTCACACTCCCTACAGACCACCCAAAACTTTATTAAAGGCATTGATCTTTTTATAATAATTATAAAAATTATTTTATTATTATATTGCAATTTTTTTATTATAATTAAGTATTACATTGAAAGCAGTGTCATCAATAAAAAGCTATTAAGGGGCACAAGGTTTTATGTTCATTTACATCGACTTCAAATCGTTTAAATGGTGTCAAAATTCAAGGGCGGATAGGTAGTTAATTGTTACAGGGAAATTTATAAAAATAGGGCCACCAGAATGGGAAAAAATGTTGTATATAGCGATTAAACTAGACTAGTATGATAAACTACAATAGTAATAATACATATCTTCTTGTTAAAAATATATATATTTTTTTTTTATTTAAAAAAAATTATAAAACGCTCTATTTTTATTAGCCACCTTATCAATAATTTCATCCGAGTCTACATCATTTAACGACCCTTTCCCAATAAACATAATTATGTTATAAATCATGGCTAACAAATATGATTTAACATAATGATTATTTTAGTTTCGAGAAACCACCCTCACATCTACTGGTAGGGTAGGCGTTGGTATTTAAATACTTATAGTTCACCAAGAAATTAAAACCCTTATCGTATTGTTGAAAAGTAACAATAATTCATAATTTTAGTTTTACCACCATAATGTATTTATTTAATTATAAAAATTAAAAAAAAAATAGTGGCACTGTGGTGATTACCCAAATAAGGAAAATCCCTTTTTTCTTATGGGCCTGTGTCAAATCACCATCGCGTGGACACTGTACCATTGTAATGTATCACTGCCTCCGTTTGAGAGATAAATGGATGAAAATAGACTCTGGAGCAGTCAGCAAAGCAATGCCGGAAGTTTAAATGAGAAATCGCACTGGATCCACACAAGGGGAACAGCGATAGCGAAGGGACAAGATAGGGAGAGGACCGGCCAGAGACGAAGGAAAATTAATGGGCTCGTGCCCGGCTAATAATCAGATTAAAAAATAATGTTCCTTTCTTAGGTAATCGATATTCGTCGTTCCTTTATTGTTTTTTTTTTCACTCGGAAACTCTAACAGACTTATCGATATCAGTATAAAATTATCTACTTTTGAAACTTATATTTTTTTAAATATCAAGTAAGTATGGTAAATGAATTGAAAAAAAAATCGATGTTGATAACTTTAAGAGCTTGTCGCGAATAATAATAAAAACAAAATGCTGCACACTAACAGTGATAAGATTAATAATAGTTTTGAATTTTGATATAATAAGATGAGGGTAGATCGGATTTCATACCTATGCGGTATTATGATTTTAATTTGAAAAAATCTGTGTGATTCATTAAATAAACGCTTAATTTTCAATTTTCTTTTAAACTACAAGGGAAATAATTGATTCTATGCTCATTAGAACGAGCTTGTCAAGAAATACTAAATATGAATTTAAAAAAAAATTATTTAAGTTTTTTACAATAAAAAAATTGTCAATTTAAGATAAATTTTTAGCTGTAAATTTAGACAAATTAGAGAGAGACCGGATATGTAAATTAAGGGCCACTGATCAATGGATATTTGGTAAACTCTTGTCATTATTTTAAAATATTGTTTATCCACTTTAATAAGTAATTATAATATTGTGTTAAACCGATAAAATATAGGTAGAAAATAATATTTTTATATAAATTATAAATATTATTTTTATACTTGAAAATTTTAAAATTCATTTTTTTACTACCTTTTGATAATTTTGTTTAGGTTTAGCGTCAACCAAAAAAAATCGTATTTTTTTGGTCACAAAATCTTGAGTTATTTTTTTTCTGTTTTGTGTACCTACTCAACAAAATGTGTGCTGTAATATATATATATTATATATATACACAAAGGCATAATATAACTATGTCATATTATGTACACTACACAGTGCAAAGATAGTATGCAAAATAAAACAATAAGCGTAATATTTATGTTTTGTAATATTTTCACGAGCTCACTTCGTGCTGAATTTATATGTCAAACATTTGTTATTTTAAAAACCTATGCATAATTTTGATTCCAAAATGTTTTTTTATTTAATATTCTGATTGTTCCAAATTTATCAATTATTATAAATTTTAACTTAGTCCTGTTATTGAATTTAAAAAAAAATCAAGTAAAATGTTCTACGGCCAGATAATGAAATATTGTACTGTTTTTTTAACAGTGTGTAATTTGCATTTGTTCGTTTTGTGTGGTGAAGTAAATAACTTGGTCAACAATCTAAACGCACTACTTAGTTTCCCCGGTTGGGGTCATATCAACCATGTAAACGTGAAATACGAATTTACTAACAACGATGTAACATGTTTTTCCGGAAAAGATGTATTTATACCCATCGAAGAGCCAGACAGTCCTTCTGTTAACGTCGATAACGTCGATACGAAGTATCATATGACTAGACTATTGCTTGGATGTGTGTATGTAAACGCTGTCTTGGAGACTATCACATTGATTAATTATATTCTAAATGAAAGCAAAATTGTAGCAAAAATTACAACGGATAGGATACGGAGATCGAAGCGGTATCGAAAATATAGACATAAATGTGGTAAAACTGTTTCAGTCGAAGTACCCGACTCTAATAATAGCAAATTCTGGGAAATCTTTAATTTTGCATTGAGCCAATTTAAAAAAGGTCGGCCGATGTTTGATTGCATGTGCAACGCATTTATTTTTCTTTCAATACCTCAATTAGGACATACACAACCATATTATCGGGACATACGTCTAGTCAAAGCTAGTGTGTTGGAATTGTCACGTATTGCAACAGATGTATCGCGTTTACTTCCCACTTATAAAAACGATTACCTAGAAAACGAAGATACCAACATAGAGGAATTTAGAGAAACATTGAGTTTATTTTTTAGTTTCCATAAAAAAAATTACTTGCTTCCCTTCGCGAATAAATACTGTCAACGGCCAGAAAACGGCAATTCAAATGAACCAGTAACGATACAAAACTTAAGCGCAGAACAAGCCAGTATTTTAAATAGCATAAGCACATTAATTCAACATCACGTGGACAGCGCTATCCAGAAATACGTCTTGGATTTCGGTTTGAATGATGTAACACAATATACGGATTTTAGTGAAATACAAGGTACAACAGTAGGTAATAATTATGTTTAACACACACTATTTTACCTAATATTTACATGTAAACCCGCGATAATTTGCGTAAAACATCCGTCTTTCTCAGGTGTGCATTGGTGCTATATTCTATGTTCTATTTGATTATTAATTGATGAAAGAGCTATATTCAATAATGGATGATTGAGGGTTTGATGAATGAGTCTTTATCTTTGAGACCTTTTTGAGAGAAACCCATTAAATAACTTGACGTAAATGTCGCAGTCGATGCCATTGATCGGCTGAAGTACACATAATTGTGATCCGTTGCAATTTGTCGAACGAATTGAAAACAACGCAGTTGGCCTTGTTGTCATCACGATTTAAGCTGTCGTTGATATTAATATTTTTGGTTCTGTTATCGTATGCTGTGAGTGTCCAATGCATGTTTCCAACAGATGGTTGAAGTCAGAAGTGATAGCTTAGAAGTTGCAATCATCTGGATCACTGTAGGCCCGAAATGTGTTGAGAGTCGGGATGAAGAGATCTTTGCTAATAATGGTTACAACGTTAATGGGATCAGTTGTTAAAAGTCGTAGAAAAGCATTGACAACATCATCAGCGACCATTTACTCAGAACTGTCTATTCAAATTAGTAAAAGAACTAAAGATCAGGGCAAGGTCTTTGTTCGTAGAATGCTTAAATCTGTTATATTTTATCAGAAGTTAATGCATTTTCAATGTATACTTCGCAATACTCTTGGTGATTTCTATGAGCCTTGTATTATCGGAATGAGGATTTTGAAAATATATGTAGACAAAACAGTTAAATAAGAAGTCAAAAAAATTATGAGTATTACTCTGGTTTTATGAATGAGAAATCACTGTTTTAGTATTGTATGTTTAAACATGCAAAGCAATTGAAAGCTGTATAATAATTAATTTGATACTAAAGGATTTTAACCGTGTTTAAAAAATTTATTTTTGCTATGAATATTTACTTAAAAAAAAAGTTATTCATGACTGTA